TGCTGACGTAGGCGGGCAGCCGGCTGTTTCCTGGCGCTGCGTGTCGCTGCCTTTGCCATCTACTGCCTCGTCTTCTGCCGCAGTGTAAAGCTTCGCCACGTACATAAAAATCAAAGGTTCTTAGCAAACGTGTTCAGAGCAGGTTTTATGTCAGAAGCAGAGAACCTGCTACGGCCTTTTGTCCCCCTGCACATGCCCTGGCTCTCACCCCGTTCCTGAGCTATCGCGCCTTTAATTACTGGATTCCACACAATTGTGTCAATAGCGCTTCCAGTCACACCTGTACCTAGTGGAACATCATAAAAGAACAATGTAGAGGAAACAAGATCTCTTCTCCTAAAGTTAGATGCTTGTGATGTGCCAAGGCTTTATTTATAGAACCTGAAGAAAACTTTAGGCAACAACCAGTATTAGTCTGAAGGTCTTCCCCCTGTGCACAACCTAATGCAAGATGCTGAATGGTAAGAAACTGCAGTTAGCACTTCTGTTTCAGTTCAGCTGTACTTCATTTTAAATTTCTATTTTGGAACATGTGCAATGTATGTAAAACCACAGTTTAGACATCAAAATGCACATTATTTGCAACCCAGTGCTCTGTCTCACTGCTGTAGCTCTCATTCTTCTGGGCGTTATTCCTACTGCCTACAAAGCTTCAAAGGACAAATCATGCCAAAGCTATGCTACAATACTCATCTGGCATTGAAGCTCTCTCACTTGGTGCTCTGTAGTTCTTTCCAATGCTGTCCACCTTTTTCAAAGAAGCTGAGGTTTCATGACTCAGCTGAATCAACCTAAATTGCTGTTAAGAGAAGCCAGCCCTAATTAATTCTTGTGGAAGCTGAGGGCCCTGGAACTGGCTCCTCAGTTCTGTTTAATAAATTGGCATAAAATTTAACCCAGCCTTCAATAAAGGTTCAAGAAAATAATTGCCATTTCCGAGAAATGAATCAGCCTGCTGGGTGGGTGAGTGGGAGAGTGCCACAGTTGGAGGAAGATGACAGTGAGACCATATGGTGGCAACTCACACAGCCCAACTCCCCAGATCTCCCATCACAGCCAACAGTGAGGACAACTGTATTGTCCCTAACAAAGTATCTTAACATGCATGGGAGGAGACAACCTCACAGGAACAAGATAGGGAACAGGAGAGGTGTATTAATACTAGAAGGGCAGGAGGAGGAAAATAAAAAATTCAAATGTGGATCAGTGTTTACCCTTGTAGAAAAAGCAAAGTTGGTATACATGCACAAAGAAAAAAAGAGTCTGTTGTATGAGACTCCAACAAAGCATCATCTAAAGCACAGCATTCGCTTAAGCAGAGGCCATCTAGAAAACATTCTATAAGGAACAACTTAAGTATCAATGTTGTTTCATATGACAAAAAACAAAGATTACCTTCTCATGAGTTTACAGTTATTTTTGGCAGCTGTGAGCAGCATCAAGCACACTAATAGTTTACTTATTTCCAAGTGCTAGGTTTTATTGCCGGGTTTCCTTTCAAAAACGATTCACGAACCAAAGTAAGTAGCCTTTGTGTTATCCAAAATTCATTAACCAGGAAAGCAACATGTTATACTGCTTTAAGGGTAATTTTGTTGTTTTCATCAATGCTTTATTTGGAAATGAGCTGCAATGCCATTACACTATTCAACAGTGACATCACTGAAAACTTCACTCGACAGGAGTAAGTGCTACCTGAACCACAATAAATCAAGACAAGGGCTTTTTGTTGTTGCTAGTAGCAGTGCATTAAAACTGGACACATATTACACTGTTTGTAACAAGTGCAACAGTGTAAGATGAACTGACTCCTACAATGGATATAAATGTTACATGTTTTCCTGTTATCTATTAGTGTATTTTCTGTAACAGTTACTCATCTTGGGGCGGGCAAATCAAAAGGCCTGCTACTAATAAACTCATACTGCAGATGCTGTTTTTCATGAAATTCCTAACACCAAACTCTACAGAGCACAGAAGTTTAACACAGCCCTGAATTTCATCAAATCAAAAAATATGAACCAGATATTTTTGGTCTTAAAGGAGGTTTTCGTTAGTTTAGATCTAAACAGTGTGAAATGCAGTGAACTTCTGGTCACATATCTTGTGAGAGTGTTCAGTGAAGTATAAAATTAACATTGAATCTCTGTAAGGGCACTTCTAAAAGCCAGCTGGTTGAATTTTCCTAATTGGAAGCAAAAGGTAGTGGCATCACAAGACAACAAAAGGGAATTCAAGTTCACTGAGGTTCCAGGGCATAGTTTGGTGGAGACTCTGAACACAATTGATTCTTCTCAATCAAGTGAGAATTTCACAAATGCTGTTACAGATTTGCTCCAGGGGATCGACAGTGTGCATCTCTTACAGGATACTTCTTTTAGAACTAAGTGAGAGTCACCATGTGGTTAGGATTCAAAATCTCAATCCAGTAGCCATCAGGATCCTGAATAAATGCAAGTCCTTTCATTTTACCTGTAAGGACAGGGAGAGAAAAAAAAAGAAAAAAAAATGTAAAGCTACATGAATGGTTCTTAATCTGAATATGACTACTACAGTAAAAGCAAAACACAACTTCTGCTTTTAGCTGCTACAAGAATTAGAGTAAATCTAGAAAAATTAGTTGGGAAACTGGTTAAATTAGCTTTTAATTAGCATTAGATCTTTGTTTAATCAATACTTAATCTCAGTAAAACTATAAAGTCACTTTAAGATACTACTTTTTTTGATGGAAACAAATTTTCTGCCTATGCACTGTGAATCTCGAGAGATGGGCATGTTAGATCCCTCTAACAAGGGATCTAAAGATCAATTCAAACATCTGTAAGCTGAAGCTACCTGTTCTATCTAAAATTATTAGTACAGACAGCAATCCAGTTTCTATAGCCAGAAGGAAGAAGGAGAACCACAGATCTGTGTGCTGCTAGGTGTTAAATGCCTGTTTTGGAATGCATCGATAATAAAACTATCAAGATGTCTCTTGTTGAAGGAGAATCCAGTTGAACAGCACAAGACTTTTCACCACCAATTTCCACATTTTAGATTAGACAAAGACACTATTTATGCACTCTCTAGTAACTATTTTAATTGTGCATCAAGCATTTTTGATACAAAGTTATACAAGTCAAATAGAAATATCCTCATTTATCTGTATCATAACAAAGCAGACATAACAGTTAGAATAATAATGACTAAAAAGTCGGTTTTAGAAAAATTAAAGAAACTAACAAAAAGAATTATTTGAAAGGTAATTCACTTTTAACGAGTCTGGGAAGTTACATCTTCCAAGTCATTTTACTTTAACATGAAAACAGCCAAACAAATGTTAAATGTGTGAACTGGCCAATGACAGAGGAAATTCTGTAATAACTCTAGAAAGTATTATATATAGTAAAGCAAGACATCAACATAGCACATGAATTTTAGTGAAGATCAAACTAAATACAGAATGTATGTAGCTAGGCCAATTAATTGTAGTTACTGAGATCTCTCTACTATCAGTTTTCCCCGCTGGGCAAGAGGGAGTAGGGCCAATTGGTTTTAGTATATTTTAAATGGCGAGATGACTATTAGAAAGTTTCCTCTTAAAAAGCAGAGTACATTAAAAAGCAGGAATTTTAAAATTGCATTTTCACACTTTGCAAACAAGTTTGCAAACATTTTTCAAACAAGGCTTAATTTCTGATTAAGACTTACCATCGTCTGGTTTCTTCACAAATTTCACCCCCAGTTCTTCAAACCTCTTACAAGCTTTGTTGACATCAGGAACAGCAATTCCAATGTGTCCTGTGCAGCAGGGTAAAAAACAATGAAGCACACTCTAAGTACTGCTGGGTGTTCTAGGAAAAAAAGGATGCTTAACATTTCATATTGTGCAAAAGGTTTACATGGCATCAGTCACATCAAAAAAGATCTACCTGAGAAAAACATTATTTTCAGAAAGAACAGCATTTTAGGAATTAATATTAGAAAGTTTGCTTTTTGATTATGCCTTAAAAAAGGTTAAAAGATATGAGAATATTATATGGAATATGAAAAAAAAAATTCAATCATTTTTTTGTCTGTACTGCCTTTCTTGAAGCATATCCATGTAACAGGATTTCTTTGCATTTGTCCAATTCAACATTACAAGGATTTTAATCATTAATGCTGTATTAGTAGAGACTAACATTAGCACTGCTCAAGGCCTCAGCTTACAGATCAATTCAGAAGCTTTAAATGTCAAGTCGCTAGATGTAGTTTGAAATTTATTTCTTAAGTGACCTTTCAAAGGCTCAAAATAACAAATCACAGAATTACTCTCTATCTTGCCACACACATGCTACTCTCAGTCATGCATGTGAACAGAACTCTCCTTCAGTCTCAAAACGGGTAGCTAGCATACTAAAAATAGAAATCCAAACTTAAATCAATCTAAATATTATAATAATCCAATATGCAAGTGTAGTTACAAGCTTTCATTGAGTGACAGCATGTATTTGCTTGCCAAAAGATTAAGTTCTTTATATAAAACTACTCATTTTTCTGAAATATGTTTATTTACAAATTTTCATGATCTTTCAGAGAATATGCTGAAAGAAGAGCAAAGGAGGACAGCACAGAAGCTCCCTTCCTTACTAGGACTAGTACCATTTCTTCGAAATAATCTACTAAGAACACTTCCTCAGTCATGCAAGTTGAGAATTTTTATCCACTTTCTCAAAAAAAAGAAAACCTACCAATAACCTTTGCACTGAAATCATACATATGTTTGACAGTTTGTTTTTATTTTTTAAATGTCTGAACCTGTGTTTCCCCCCAGTCAACAAGGAAGAATGTAATCATAATAAAAATGAAGCTTAGAAAACACACGCACAAAACAAGAAACCTACCAAATCCTCTGGGATCTGAATTGCCATTGTGATAGGACTGCTTTTCATCATTTTCAGTGCCCCAGTTGCTGTAAGAGTAAGAATTGCATATTGAAAAAAACGCATGGATGTGACCAAGTCCTAAATCCTCCTGAGGAGGAGGAGTAGCTTCTTTAAAGAAGGACTATCTGGTATTCTGAACCAGCAGAGAATTTTACATGTTGACTGCACTTACTCAACTATCAGGATATATTCCCTGATGACAGGTCCTATGGACAGCTTTAGGAATAGGATATTAGAGCTAATCCGGTCTTGTTCACATTTGAATGAGTCAGAGAGACGCTCCTACCTCATTCCAAGCTACAGAGAAGGTTGTGCCGCATATGAGTCAGTGACTTACCACTCACTGGGGAACATCAGGTGAAATGAGCAGGTTCTGGAGTTAAACAGTGGGTAGTATGAGAATCTGTCTCTGCACCTCTATCAATTACCATGATTTGAACACTAACAAAATTGCCTTGTTGGTATAAACTGTCTGACTTAATGTTTGCTTTGATCATATTTTGCAAGCAATAGTTAATCCTTTATTGAGATGCTTCAGTTTTATTTCACACTTTTGTACCACTGTTCACCTACCAGTTTGGTAGAGCTCTAGACAGTGAAGAATTAAACGTGCCAAGTATACATGATCTCAGCCACATTTTAAGGCTATATGACAGACATGAGGATGTTTTCACAGGAGTTATTACATTTTGTATCAAATCCAACAGGACTTCTACATTTAGTTTTATCACCTTTAGGTACATGTCGTCTCTTATTATATTAATACTTACTGTGTCAGTTCAAGCGTAGCTTTTCTAGAGAAGGTCCAAGCTGTTCTCTCAGTTTTATCTTTTGGGATGTCATTTTTATCTTCATATGCCAGGAAATAGAGTGAGAACTTCATACTAGGAAAGTCAAATTTCTGAAGCAGCCTAAATAGCAACATTTGTTTTGAATAGTTAAAGAAGGAGGGAAAAAAAAAAAGAGGTAGCCAGCAAGTGCATCAAGATCATATCCCATTTCAGAATTATTGCTGTATCCTTTTTGTCTTTCTCATTGTAATCCATATTTCTAAATAGCTACATTTTGAACCATCAAGCAGAAGCATTCGAGCATGTATTATAGTTCTATAAAAATTAGAAGATTTAGATACTAAAAAGCCAAATTACAAGTAACTGAAGAGCTAGACATAAATATTAGTACAAAGGCTTCAGTCTGAAGTAGCCACTAACTCTTATTAGGACATATTTCCTCAGGCAGACCCTTAAGTCTATCCAAATCAAAATGAATGTCACCAAGGAAGATTTACTTTCAAATGTATTCATCAGCACCAGATAAAATTTAAGAACGCAACAGGACAAAAAAAAAAAGATAATCATCATACCTTTAAATGAAGTATATTTATACTTTCAATAGTAAGGTATAAAAATATGTGTAGGGGAAGAACCAAAGTTGGAAAAAGTATCTAGGTCATCTGGGGAAGAACTAACTTGAGAAAAATAGATGGATATGGGGACAAACAGGGACTGGTCGCACAGGCCTGGTCAGCATGTTTGCCTCACCATGCCTGTGCCTCACAGAGCTTTCCATCCTACCTTCTTCTTAATTTCTCCTCTAACTATCCTCCTGGGTGAGGGACCCTATTCTACGTGCATGCGTCTGAGTGGCAGGAACTGAAGGCAGAGAGGGGGGGCCTGTGTATCTGTGGTGCCAAGAACTAGACCAAGCACGGGTATGCTGGTAAGTGTGCAGTCACTAGCAAATACCAAGCTGTGCTACCTGGCAGGTAGGTGAGGTGGCCTAGTGAGTCTCTAAGGGTGAGACCACAGGCAGACCAGGGGAGCCCTGGCCAACTGGTGTCACTGAGAAGTAAGCAAGTTGTATGCTGATAATTAAGGACTACTTAAGAAAAAAAGAAAATTCTAGTCATAGCAAACTTTATTTATTTGCAGCTTAGACATTAACAGTGCTATGAAGTTCTCAAAGACTGTCTTACTACCCAGTTTGGCATTAGCTGATGGGCCAGTGTTGTTCAGGCAGTTAGACCAATTAGTATAATTACGCTAGAAGAAATCTTTTGTTGTTAGATTAATATGCCAACTAGTGCAAACAAAGCTTATTATAGCATGCCACTTTCACTCACGTCATTCCAAGAACTCTTGTATAGAAGTCTAGGGACTTCTTAGGATCCTTTACTCTTAACATTGTCTGCTGCAGTATAAAATCCTGGTGAAAAAAAAAATAATCATCATGGTTATACACGTGATCCCTGTTATACATGTGATCTGCTTTAGTACGCAAGTGTACTAGCTTGATAAGCATCGGTTAACAGGCCTCACAGTTTATGTTGAGTTTACCGAAAGCTCGACTCTTAAAAATCAGTCCTTTAACTGCTACAACAGGCAGAGGGTTAATTTTCTTCAAGCTCAGCTATGCCTTGGCCCCAAAACCAGCCGAGGATGCAGCGGGTACCAATAAAGCGCTGCAGCGCAGCCCGCTCCTAGCGCTGCCAACGCGCAGCAGGGCTGCGCACCCCGAGCTGCCCGCGCAGCGGCCCCGGG